ACTAGGCCAGTAGGCGTGAAATTGCAATTGTTGATGATACCGTTTGCTTCCCCCTTTTTTCGATTGTGCCGACAAGAATGATGGCAAATTTGTCACCTTAGCATCAAGCAAAAACTGCCTTCCTTGGTGATATAACAAAGATGGAACTGTTTTAGGCATCTCAGGACACAGCTATGTACAAAGCCTCTGTCGGCCGATAAATTTTCATCAGTCACCCAAAAATTACTAATGACTGTTGTAATTATGGCCAGATCAGTAGTTAAACGATTATGGGCTACTGATTCATTTTGTTCATCGCTGAATCTATAATAAATGACAGCTGGCAGATTAAAATTCACGTTCAGTAGAGTTCGTCCTTTTGTCTGTTCTCTTTGCAAAACTCACAAGGATGGCTCAGTGCTTAACTGGACCAACCAGCCTTGCTTTGGGTGATAACGTGGTATCATACTGGCAGGATAAAACACTGAAATGCGCATATGATCGGTCCAGGTCAAAAGGCTGTAGGTCTCAACAGTTCCCCACGAATTCTGAGACCGAGTAGCCTTCAGAACTTCCAAGGTTCCTAACCATCATAAATTCTTGTAACGAAGCAGCAACTTGCGGACAGAAACTCGAATTCGCGAAGAGATCCTAGCATTTTTTTCAAACGTAAGTAATTGACTCTCCGTTTGTCGCCTTGAGAAATTTCTAGGTATCCTGTCAGTGACTCAGTACTGGTGGAATTCTCATCCATCGTATTCAACCAAGTGTATCGTACAGAAACCACGCAAATTGCTTTCTTTCTTTGTCACTCGTTTTCAATCTTCGTGCGCTTTGTATCAATCTTGTGAGCGGACACCTCCACCCTCTTTTACGCTACTGTCACCGATTGTACGGGCTCTAGGCGATATTGACTCTCTATGTTCCAGTATATGTGGGTTTATAGAACACCACAGTAGTAGAACTCAATTAAAATAGTATATCAAAAATTTCTTCGTATATCTTGCAGGCTTGAAAGTTACGGTAGCTATTAATAAGAATTCACGTCAAACTCATTTTGACTGAAGGGGATTTTTGAATGAAGTGTTATATATTGTTCTTTTACGTCAAATTTGCGGCATAATATATGTATATGCATATGTTGACGTATTAATCTACTATGCATGACTTAATGTATTTTATTAAAATTATGTAGAATTTGTGATACAATGTGGATCAATATTCTTCTGTGCACATGTAATCAGCAGGTGTATCGTGTATCAGCTGATCTGTTTTTATGTATACATACATATGTTTGTATATGAGAATGTTTGTTTGTGTATGTGTTTGTTTGTGTGCGTACGTACGCATGTTAGCGTGTGTGTGTGTTGGTGGGTGGGTGTGTGTAGGTCCAACCGGAAATGCGTAATATCCTTTCTGGTATCACTGGTATTAATAAACACAAATGAAGAGGGGTAGGGGATGGCTACACAACATAAGCCTCGATCAGGGATCCTACAAAGGGAAGCCTATCTTATTACCATTTAATTCTATGATACTATCACAGTACATCCCAAAAGAATCGTGGGAAAAGTTTAAATTGGAGTAGAACTACCGTTGTTAGCATGATTGACACTTCGTGCATGTGCTGGTGAGTCGAAGGAAGTCATTTCAGTCGGACGTGCAGTAGTTGTTAAAGTAGGCAAGAACTGACAGTTGACATTGTTCCATAGAAATGGTTGAGTGAGTCGAAGGAAGGAAAAACATCACCGATGATTCCTCAACTGGCTGTCCAACGCATGTCTTCTATTTGTGGGCTGACATACTCTGCAGCAACCCTTATTGGTATGCCACCTTCCGAAGTTCTTTCGAATCTTTGAAACTCTTTTACAACTCTTAGCGGCCATGTGTCATTGAATCAGGTATGCAAAGGGTCCATTGGCCCCATCTTTCCGGGATTCGAGTTTGAGACCATGCGTGTGTGATAGCGCGCCACTTACCCCTACACCACCCTAGCCTTTCAGTGATAAAAAAGAAATATCAGTGATTTAATTAATTCATAGAATGCGCTGGTGCACTGCACAAAACATTCTGTCTGGAATACATTGCCTTACTTCCCTCATAAAGTATGCTCACTCATCTGTCTCACCTGTCGTCCTTTATGTCATTGACTTACCAGGGCCCAGACGAAACAGTGTTCTTAGTCATCCCTGTATTGAGCCTTTAAAGCCAAAATGGCTTTCCTCGTTTGGGAATCACGTAGGAAATCATTTTTGTCACGTAGTGCACTTTCTCTTTCAACCCATTGTTCTGTATAATAACCAAATAACAGCTGTTTTATTCCATCGCCGCTTCGTCCTACGGGATTTCCCATATGCAAACATTTTACCATAATAGCGAAGTAAATATTATTTTTTTTCCACTCCCACCTACGGTCTTCTATGAACCTCGGCATAATTGCTGTATTATCGA